CATATCTTGCCTTGCATTCTGTTCTTCATCCCTGATTGCACACACACCGTCATGTGCCACTTGGAATGCAAATTTAATAATCCTGCGAAGGATGCCGCCTAATCCACAGCTAAATCAATCTGTTTGCTTCAAAAGCAGGAAACTTTGTTTCGCAACTTTGTCTTAGCGTGACACCAGGGCTCGTAAGTGGATTTGGGGTATATGGATGATTGAAAAATTGGGTCTGGGAGGTCCCTATTGGGCCTAGTTTCGCCGTATACTTGAGGCTCCTCACAATTAAATTGCAAATTTACTTGCAAACTAGTGAGTAGAGGGGAATATTTGAAAAACTATCAATCGGAAAAATCGTCGAAATTTCAGGAACTGACCAGGGGCACTGACTAAATGTAGGCAAGGAGGTGCGGCAAATGTTCCAGCAATTAGATTCAGGATCGCTCGAATCAAAAAATTAAAAACACTGTTTTTTTAGGAAGAAACGTTGATTTTATAACACCATTTTATAAATAACACCAGTTCCACACTTTGAGCTATTATCAGTAGATCTTCGCGAGTTAGATAACGAAGGGCCGTAAATCAAAATTTTAATATAACACAATAATCTCTTAAAATACAAAGGTTGAAGTTCGGTTTGCTGTTTGGGGAAAAGTTGGGGCCTTGTTTCATTTAGGCCAATTTATTAGGGTGCTCTTAATGACTTTCCAAATTTTCGCTCTCGCTGGCAAAAGTTTGATCAACAATTTCCTTTGCGGGCATTTATGAAAGATGAAAATTACCTACATCAATTCTATAACAATTTATGCCGAAGAAGAAAAATCCTCTATAACTGGCTGTTTCCTGGAAAATCATTAAGTAAGTTTCCACTTCCATCTTCCGCTCTGATTAAAGTTGTGCGGCTCAAAGGCAAAACTAGTTTTAAAGTTATCCCTTTGAAGCTATAATACATAAAGCAAAAGTGATGCCATTAAATATTTCCTTCCAAGGGAGTTAAAAATTAGTTTCCAAAGGTATGGACGCGAACGTAATAAATCGTCCAGATAGGCAAAGAACTTTCGACAACAAAGCTGGGGTAACTGGAAACCCACCTTTTGTTTACTGTTGCCAACAAGCTTTAATGGTCAGATAAAGGGCTTAATGTAGTTGGTGAAACATTACTTAGCAGGAGCGGTTCAAGGTAGAAACATGTTCTTCAATTAGTTAATAGTTGGAAAGTGGCTCTAAATCGTTCAGGAGTTAGTGGACAGATAATTGTTGGAAGTCTAGCTAGCAGTAATCCGAAAAACTGTTATTTAAAATTAATTTATGCAATCTGCACTTGCTCAGTTTAGCTGCTTAGTTTAATTGCTGCGAGCTCGAGAATCTGCGCATTTTCTTCATAATTAATTTACAGTTCCAGGGTGCCACATAAGCAATACATTAAACAGGCTACTATGCACATACATCCAGCCTACAAAGGGGAAATTAATTAATTTCGGTGGGAACATAGTTAATCAGCTTATGTTCGGGGAATCTTGAAAGTGATCAATTAAGTTAAAGAAATTCCCCGAACTGCTAAATTTTAATCTGTCCTACACATTTTAATTAAGTTTTAATTAAATCGCCCTAATGCAACTGCGCGCTGCAGTTAACGCTTATCCCCTGGACGAGTTTCATCATGACTTTTGTGTAATGGTTCATGAGCCCTTCCAGATGGATTAAAATTCGTTTTTTCTCCTGATAAAACGTCGGAGTTCGGCCGAAGCTTTATGTGATGTCGGTCTATAATTAACTAAGCGGACCGAAAAGTTCGCAAAATAGCCCAAAGACCTTGCAAAACTCACGTAACCAACGTCTATATGCTTTACTAAAGAGCCCCATGATCCCTTAGCTTGTTAATACGTTGGGGTTGATTTCCGGTTTGGAAGCTTGAGGGAAAGTTGGCGAAAACAAAACAACTGGACTTTTCATTGATTTTCCAAGGTATAAATTTGAAAAATCGCTGTTCATATAGCAAATTTTATCTGCTTCGGCAAAGCAAATGCCGCGATCCCACATTACTCTAAAGAGTCTAAACAACGTAAATTGTCCCATCAAATGTCTTATCTGCGCAAATACGAATTGTGCTTTCAAAGCACTTCGCGTATATTCAGGGGAAAATTGATGTAAGAAAATCGTCTAACTAAACCTTTGGTCAGACACGCTGTGCTTTATGAGCGTACGGATCTGAGTAACTGATGTTTTAAATCTGTCTGGATCTATTTGAGTTTCTTCACCTCAGAACCTCATTGGGAGTTCAACGGTCGGCTTTTGTCTGCTGATTCCTTTGATGGTTTACCTGGAAAAGCTCCCAGGTTTTTTGTATTTTGCTAAAGTTAATTAGGCTTAAACGGTTTTATTCTTTTCGGTAGCAACAAGGCTTTGAAAATTTCGGGATAATTCAACAGCAAAACAGGAACCAACTTTATTAATTATACATTCCAGGGCGCCATGAAGAACCGTCCATATTAATATCCAATTTCAGCCTGCTCGATATATTCCAATGAGGTTACGAACTAATTTTGAATTCAATAATTTCCCTGAATCGACACGGCTATTCGGTTTAGGGTCGACACATTCGAAATCAGGGGTTCGTGCCACATTGATCAATTCATGAAATTAACTTTGATTGGCCAGCAATGATGAGTTTTGAGCGAAATTTTAGCATGAATGGAGTCATAATTTGCTAATTTGGGTTCACTAAAGTGTCCCAATTCCAATGCAGGCGAGCAGGAAAAGCATAATTTTCGTATTCATTTCTGTGCGTTTTTGGAGATTTTCGATCTTCTCCCCGGTCAACTGTATTACTTTTTCTTATTTTTGTCAGCTCGTTTTTTAGCCAAGTCTTTCGACATCAGACTACTCCCAAGTTTTCATGCCAGTTCTCCAAAAATCCCACAGAAAATATCAGCAGGAGCGAAGAAAA